AAGGATTTGCAAGGAGCATGCACGGTAGAATTCTCAATGCATTTCAGCAACTTTATGTTGGATCTGAAATGCTTGCTGAAATAAGACCAAAGGTAGAAAAAATATTTGTTGCTCTTGCAAAAATAAGCATCGAGCTATATGATCATATTGGACCACGTTCACCATATTATATTCAAAATATGACGTTTTTGTTTACTCAAAACCATAATTTGCCAAGCACAGATATATTCCATACTTTGAATCGTATAAGAAACGAGACACAATGTGAACTAAAGATCAGTCAAAATATAGGTGAAGAGTTAAAACTAGATGACCAAAAAGCATGCGATTTGCAGAAATACTCCTGCGAAGTACTTAGCACTGAAATAGTGCCTGAGCTGCTAGGCTTATATCACATCTGCTATCTTTATGTGTTTATTCTGATCAAGGATAATAACGACATATTTCCTTCAAATCCCAATTATGACCTGATTCGTGTTATGGCCAATCTTGAGATTTTAGAAATATTTTCAAACATCATTGCTGAAATTCCTACAATTATTAGCTCACAGAACATGGGAAGTATAGCTGGCCTAAAGAATGCAATATCAAAACAAATGGCAGATGCTCGTACATTAGAAATCTTGGAAACTACATACAAAGAAATGGTAGGAAGATATAGTCCATCTGAGATACTTAAGAAGCTTTGTCAAATAACAAAAAGTGATATGGAAACCACTTTAAGTTACTTTTATAGCGCTAGCTCTGCCGAGCCGTCCAATGATGGGCTGGCATATGCCGTATCTCGTCTGAAGTCTAATCTCGTTTTATCGACATTTGAGTTTGACAAGGTGAAACAAAGCATCTGATTCAACAGTGCACCTGACTTATCATGCAATAAATTATCATTTATGCAGACGCATCTGTCCACCATTATTATTTACACAGTTTCAAACAAGAACAAATGTTAACATGCCATAAACTCTTAGAAATTTACTTTTAACTGAGCATCAATCGTACTGTTTTTAAGGAACTCGGCTACTCTTGTGATGTTCTTGTCATGCGCAGTGAGATCAAACTTCCTCTGGAACACTCTCAGTGTGTGTTTGGAGAACGTAGCTGTGCCATTTCCACAAGGAGATTTCCTGGTTGTAAATACGGCTTCGGCTGTTGGGAGAATGACCGGCTCCTTGGCGGATGGATCAAATTTCTGAATAAAATCGTAAAATTCTTTGGAAAATTTGTTCATGATCTTCCTGTCTGTTCCACTGAGCGTTATTGTTATGTTTCTAACTTCTCCTAGATCTATTGTCGGAATTTCTTCTTTTTTGTCAACAACAGTGCTCATGCAGGGTGAAAAATTTTACACAAATTTTTGCTCACCGAGAAGCATTAAAAAACTAGACAGTGGCCCAGTAATACATTTATCATGCAATGCCTTTATTTGGATGCTTCTTGTTTAACCATGCGAGCTAGGCTAGAAATTAGATTTGCTCATACTTTAGTCAGCAGCTTATACAATGATACGAAATAGCTTGCAAAACATGCCAGCGTAAATATTGCTAAATATATACAGATCATATAATCGGAGCATGACTTTTTGAAGCGTCCATATATTGTGAACAGCACTGGAAATCCAAAACAAAGAAGAGAGTTGAGAGGCTTGGCAACAAAATTTGACACAAAGTAAAAGTTGTACCATGACTGTGTTGTCAAGAAGTAACATAGAACGATCATTGAAATTCCAACAAGACGTTTATATCCATCACTTACATTGAACATGTCAATGAAATATGATTTGGCTGGATGAATCTGAAATGGAACAGTGATCACCAGCGAGGAAGCAAACAGGATAGTAGCCAATTTTGTCACAAGATGCTTCTCCTCCCATGCTAGGAATATCTGCTCTAAATTTGCAGGTGATCCGTTAATAACTGAAAATGCAGAATAGTTTATAAAACCAAAGCCAAGATACAAGCATGAAACGCAAACGAAGGATAGCATTATCAGAAACTTTAGCCGTGTTTCTGGAATTATAGACTCGTTGTGGATTGTCATTATTGATTGATGGCAAGAAAACCCAAACACAAAGAGTCCAATATTCTGAATAATGCTGGGCGGACTGCTTGTGAACATTTCAAAATTAAGAGGCTTGCCTGCCGATTCTATTTTCGACAAAGCAATGATCAGAATTATGCTAAGCGTACCTATGTACGACAGGTTTTTTAGTTTGCCGAGTTTAGAGCTCAAAATGCTTGGAGTAAGCAGGAGACATCCAAGACCTGTGAATAAAAATCCGGAAACGGAGGGATCTACAGTAAGAATGCCATTGTCTGCATCTGGTGATATCTTTTGTATGAGATTCTTCGCCAAATTCAAATATCCAGCAGCTACCACGAGGCATTTCAGAATAACAACTATGTCAACAAAATACTTGAAATTCTTTGAAACAACTGCTGCTCCTAATGTTGAAATGCTATGCTCCTTTTGTAACGCCTTGTTTCTGTCTATATAGACGTAAGTTCCGAAGATTGATGCAGCGCATGTGAGAACTGTCAGGATAGTGGTCCAAACGACCCCGTACAGATTGAATGTGTGTGGATATGAGTATATTCCTGCGCCAATGCATGATTTCATCAACCCAAAACAGATAATCAAATGTTCGGTTAGTGCTGCCATAAAGGAGAAATTTGAAGCACTGCTTAAAAAGAAAATTTAAAAGAAAAACAGAGAAAGCGCCAGCGTCGAACTATGCACAGACTTAAAGGGTTAGAGACAATGCAGCCATAAAGGGTATCATGGGATGATCTTATATTGATTTGCAGGCCAATGGAAACTCTTCACTCTTAAGCATTGGATAATTAAAATTGGCAAGATTTCATTGTAAGTGTTTAA